GAAAAAAAGTACTCCAGCATGCACAGGAGGAAATATGGCAAAAAGAAATTTACATGTGAAGATGTAGGTTTTACAGAAAGGAAAGTTATGAATCTTACATGGCAAATCTTAAAAATTAGTGCATCTGTATAACTGTTCCTGTGCACATGCATGAGTTAGAACATAGGTTCACAGGCAACGGTAAAAGCTACTGAGTACATGTTTTAAAACAAGGGAGCCTCTTTGAACAGCCAAATTAAATTATAGCTGAACTCTTGAGTGTACTGAGGGTTCTAATAAGCAACAAATAAAGACTTTTATTGGCTAGCAACATAATGAGTGCTACTGTGCATGAGATTTTAAAAAGACAAATCTGGGTAGTTTATCTCATTGGATTATATTATTTACTTAAATGGTAAATAAGTTTGTCCAAAGTAATACTACTGAAAACAAGTAAATAAATACTAAAGAGGAATTATGATCAATGACCTTAATGTAAACACATCACAAATGTTAGGGGAAAGAGTGAAATATGTGAAATTAAACTACATATACTGAATTTAATACTACTTAAATTTAAGTGTAACTTATTTCTTTAAATTTAACTTATGTATTGATTCCTAATATAATAGTTTTATAAATGCTTTACTATGTGTTTATAACATAAAACATTCATTTTTAAATCATTTTCTCACCAGGGTACAACAAATGTGTAACTACTTCAAAACCATTATCTACACAAAGAAGGCTGCCCTTAGTGAACTAAAAGAAGGTACAGCACTCCTCAGTGATTTGATAGGAAGTTACTTTTAATAAGTCTCTGAAAACTGGCGTCCTACAGAACTCCTTCCGTTGACAAAATGACAGTCTTTAACAAATCAGATTTAAAATATGGTTGTATCTTGCTTGATCTTTCAATCATCTGTAAGGTAGAAACCTAGAAATCTGAGCTGACTACTTGACTGTTCTTGCAGAAAGTTCTGTTGTCTTCTGTCACAACACACACACACACACACACAAAATAGCACCTCCAAGCCTAAATACTGAGCCAGTATTCATTATCTACTCTTTCTCTGCAACACTCTGATTGTCAGGATGATTTTTCTTTTTTACCTTTAACTGTATCTACTAAAATCATAAGGCTCCCTCTAGCTCTTCAGAGAGGAGTTTACTAACCAATGATCCTATGTGACTGTCATCCAAAAGGGAAGATTTGAGGAAGCAGACTCCCATTCCTCAAGAAATGTCATTTTCAACTGTCTCTTGTAAGGATGTAAATGTTAAATGAGACCATCTGCAGAGAAATTCAGCTTATTCAGGAATAAGCACAGTTCCTTATACCCAATCAAGAATCTATTAATTGCTTCCAACCTAAGTTTTAAATACAAAATTCTGGCAGTGAAACTAACCTGCTTAAACAATACATACATTCCTGACTTAGAATTTACCCATCTTGTTCACCTTAATCTCAAAAAAACAAAGAACAACATGTGAGATAGCTATAAAAATTCAAATTTGTGATTTTGGTTCTCAATCCTAAAAACCTAGTTTAAATGCAGAGACTTTAAAATATGTAAGTTTTATTAAGAATGTACTGTGGAATTCATGTAGAGCAAAGATGCTGATAATTTGTAGAAAACATTTCCATGTACTATAATATTTATATACCCTACTGGCAATTTTTTTTTTTATTGTTTAATCTTTTCTGCCTTCAGTATTGGGTATTTTGGGATTGCAGTTATTTCAACCACTATAAACAATGTAGCTGTGCCACTGATAATTAGTCTATCTTACAATGGCCATAAAAGCCACAGTGGACTGGCAAATCATTTCAAACAAGTGAATATGAAAAATGCTCAATCAAATGCCTCATTCGCACTAATACCATCTTCGAATATTTAAAACAGTGCTAAACCTTAACTCTAACATTACAAATAAAGGGAACCACTAACTTCAAGTCATCACCTCTTTTGGCTCCCTTAGTATAAGAAATACTCCCAGAAACAACAAAAAAGAGTAGCTCCCTCCAGCCCCCAACACCCGCCTCTTTTTGAGCCAGTGTCCAATTTCTTCTTTTCTGAACAGCTGTATTATCCAACTTAAGTTGCTCTGCTAATTTCAGTCCCACAAGGACTAACTTGGAAGGCAAAAAAAATACAAGAAAAGATCAATTTGCTGGGAAAGATCAAATGAGAAAACTGTGGGGACAGCACCAGGTCAGCGTGTGGAGAACTAAGCAGACCTGTTCTTCATTAACTGTGGCTCTCTGGGGATGTCACACACTACCTGTCCATGGGCTTTATTGAGCCGCCTAACCCGCCTCTCTGTTCCATTCTTCTGGGCCCAAGTGAATCATATCCTGCTGCTGACAAGTTAGCAGGGGACTGCGGCTGCAACATGAAAGTACTTTTCTTTCTTGTCTAAATCAGGCAGATTTTTGAAAAGACGACACAGCATTGACTCGTGACATGGCAAGATGAAACGAGAGGTCTGGGCCGGTCTTGGAGCTGTGCAGATAAAAGTAATCAAGTGACACTCGTGGAATGCAAATTGGCATTCTTGACTGCAGCAATTGCACAACCATGAAACATCCCTGACAGCAAGCAAGATTAGGACAAAATGTTATGTAAAGCACTGAACTCAAAAAGTCTCACTTGAAAATTCAAACTGTTAACACTTACATTTTAATATAGCTATAGTCAGCTAGTCAGCTCTGCTTTTGTCTGCTTCATTTTGTAATCACATATCCCTGGTTGACAGCTACCTTACATTTCAGGTGGGGGGGGGGAGAATCAGGTATTGGGACTATACAACTGCTATTATTTTCTTAAAATTTATTTTTAAAAATCACGAGACTTTCTTATGGAAAGCTTACATGCCAACAAGAGCTAAATAGTCTCAAGAGGAAAAATGACAGTTTAAGACATTTCTCACAAGGTACTCAAAGTTCACATTCAGGCCCACAAATTACTTCCCTCAGGTGAAGACACTCCTGTACTTTGGCAAAGTGATTAGCAATCTGGATTTTAAATACTCTGCTCTCCGGTAACAGAAAGAGTAGCTACAACTAAGAACTTCATTAAGGCTGAACAGTTTAAATGAAACAGCTACAAATACAACGTAAAACACATACCCTATAAAGGTTCACAAGGGATTTTTTTTGGCGGTTCCAAAGGGCAAAGGAAATTCTATTAACTTGTACTAGGTCTTACTACTCTTGAGTACATCTTCAGATCACACACTAAATAACAGCGCCAGAAATAATTCCCCCAGTTAAAGGGTGTATGTGTGTGCTAAGTAATATCTGAAACTACGTAATACAAAGTGGTGTATGACACCGGGCTTAGCCATTGTTCAATGTGACTAGTATTGGGGAATAGATGTGTAAACAAACGGTAATACAGTTTAGGGGCAAAGGCAAGAATGATAACAACCAGCTTTTACAGTGTTCTTGCCATGAGAAGAAACTTTCCAGCGGCAAATATATATTTAATATTTTGTTTTGACACCTCTAGTTAAACACCAGGTTCTACCATTGCAAAGGTCCATAAAAAAAAAAAATAACAAAACAGGTCACTCACTGTGCCAGTTTAATCCCAGGCACACAGGATTATTTTATGATATCTTTTGTACATCAGTTTTACAACAGCTTGACTCCAGGGTAAATGGGGAGCACCATAAGTCTACGCTTCTTTCAAAACCACTTTAATTTCTGTCAGCGTTACTGTAACCACAGTCTTGGGGCACAAGCTGAATGTGTGTGTGTGTGTGTGTGTGTGCGCGCGCGCACACGCGCACGCGTCTGCATTTGACAGTCGCATCTCCTACACTCCTGTCGTGACTTTGATCACTGAAACAAGAGATGTCACATTAGGGGGAAGGGAACAGAAGAAAAATGCCAACCCGCTAGCTCTCTTTTTCTTACATACTCCATTTACATGCAGAACACAGCATATCAGCTCCCCAAGTGGGGCTAACAAGAGCAACACTGGGCTGGAAGCAAACTAAAGGAAGGGAGTGGTCCAGCCCATTTCTAACAAATCACTTCCCCGAAAGCGGACAGAGCGCTCACCACCAGGCGAGCTAACTGCAAGCGTCCTCGCTGCATAGAAGCCGCTCGGAGTGGACCGGCTGCGCTGGAATCTCGCTTCGCAAGTCCGTCCCATCTCCACCACTTGCACTTGGAACTTTTTTCCTAAATCTCAGCTTCACTTCACAGGGGATTTCGGCTAGTTTTTTTTTCTCCCTCTCTCTCTCTCTCTTTTTCTTACTCTGCCCCTCCCTGGGCCCCAAATGCCACTCAACAGCCAATGTGTAAGTAAAACTGATCGGCTCCTTTAGAACTGCATCTCAAAATCTCGGTCTCTAGGGTTTATTTTCCTGCCCTACGTTTTGCACAATCTTCAAAAATACTGCAGAAGCACTTCCTACATTTTCATCAACAGAGGGAGGTTTCCCAACTTCGGGGCTAGGGGAAGAGAAGAGCAGAGGTGCCGGGACCGGCGGCGTCCTTGCGGCGCACCAGCGCGCCCCGGCGCCCACGCCCAGCCGCCGGCCCCGCACTCGCCGGCAAGTTTTAAAAGTTACCCCGGATCCAAATCGCTTTCCTCGGTCCCGGGCTCTTGCCAGCGCTCCATTCATCCCCCGCCTTCCTCCACCCCGGCCCCCCCTCCCCCCAGTTCGCCCCCAACTCCCTGGGAGCCTCCGCTCGCCTGCCGCTCACCTTTCCTCGCCAGCCGCGAGAGGGGGCGAACTTCACCAGCCCCTCACACCCACGCCTTCCCACCTAGAGTTCTCCCGGAAACTTGGGCCAAGTTGGGGGACATTTTCGGGAGCCCAGTAGGGACCAGGTCGGACCGGGGCTTTCCTCTCCACCCCGCCCTCCTCGCCGCCCCCCTCCATCTCGCGCCGCTGGACTTGACGAAAACACGGCCCCCGGGCGGGCCGCGGGGCGCGCGGGCGCGGGGCTCATTTCTTACGAAGTCTAGAATAAAAAGGAAAGGAGGGTGGAAACTTCTTACCATCTCGGCATGCTGGTTGTCAAGTGCAGCCCCCGCCTCTTGGTCTCCTCTTAGCGGCCGCGCCTGGACCAGCCCCTCGGCCGCCTCTCGCTCCTCGGTCTCGGCCTTTCTTTCCCTCCCCCTCCCGATTTCCTTCGGGCCGCCGCTCCCGCCGCCTCCGCCTCTCCCCGCCCGCCTGCGCGCGCCCTCGCCGCGGCCCCTCAGCGCTCAGGTGACTGATTTACACACGCGCCCAGGGTCGCCCTCGCTCCCCCAGTCGGAGCCCGCCGCCTTCCCTCAGCTCCTCAGGACACACACACACACGCACACACACGCACGCACACACACAAAAAGAACGGGCTGTCCCGGGAGGGGGCTGCTCGCGGGAGGGGGAACCAGCGGGGGGAAGCGGTGACCTCGGGCGGATTTGCGTGCCCCAAGAGTTTCTCCCGTCTGCAAAGTCGTGGTGACTACAATGTTGCTTCCCTTTTGCAAAATAAAAGTAGTTTTGTTGTTTGTCCTTAGATTTCTAGGGGTTTCGGAGGATGTATATTTCTCCCTCCCTCCCCCCCCCTCCCTGTTACTTTTTTCCCCAGCTCAGTCTGGAGATGGAAAACAACTTTGGCGCCCCCCGGGGGGTGCGGGCGTGAAGGTGGAGGTGGCCGCAGGAACCCAGCTGTCAAAGAGTGCAAGAGCTGAGAGGGAGGCAACCAACGCCGTGGAAAGGGCGCGAACTTTATTCCGACTGCTGCAAACCGCGGCCTCGCTTTCCTTTTCGGCCACTTGCGGGTCTCCGTCCCCTTTGGCCAGTTAGTTCCTCCTCGCGAACCGCGGCCGTCGCCCCCTCCTCTCCTCTCCCCTTCCCCTTCCCTTACTTCGCCGCGCCCGCCGCGCTGCCCGGGCGTCCTGGCCCCTGTGGGTCCGGGTCCTCCGCGTGCCGCGGGGGAGGAGGCGAGGGCGGCGGAGGAAAACCCCTGGGACAGAAACTTTGAGCGAGAATGTGTTGGGCAAAAAGGCAGAAAGTTACACGCAGCTGGGGGAAAAGTTTTTGGTGGCGGCGTGTTTTGTCCTGGCCTAGACGCCGGCTTGCGGCGAAGGCTTCCTTCCCCTTCCCGTGGTCTGGGCCGCGGGCCTGTGGGTGAAGACCGCAGGGGAGAGCAAAGGGGCTGCTGTATTTGCGGGCGCGAATGAGGGATGACCGGTCACATCTGTGGGTGACAAGCAGCCGACCCGAGTCGCCCTGCCCTGGAGACACGAAAAAAAAAAAAAAAAAACAGGCTGCAGGCTCAGCGCACACGCCCGCGGCTGAAGGACCTTGCTTGAAGGCAAGCAAAGCACACTCCCTGCCTTGAGGGGGGAGAGGGGGGAGCCAGCATCATCTTTCTACATACACTTTGTGCCAAAAACATTTCCACATCGTGCAGATTTATCATTGCTAGAGCAAACTTTCTACTTATCAAGCATGGGAGGAAGACACAGGTTTCAAGCATACTCCCTAAGCACTTAAAAATCAGAATCTGCCAAGGCGAAAACTTGCTTGGCAGAACAACAGGTTTGGTTACCGGTTACTACTGGAAAGAGAAAATCTTCCTTTCTCTAGTCTCCCAGAGGGAGAGAGTAACTGCTTAATCGCATTCAGAGGTCGCAATGAAATTCCTTTGAATATATGTAGCCTTGGAATTGCATGGGTTTATTTTCTTTTGATGCAGTCTTGTCTTAAGTTTAATATAAATTTTCGCAATAATTTCCAAAAATTTTCCGGAGCCATGACTGACGTCAGACTAAGGCCCAAGTCATCACAGCTGTTCTGAAACTGTGATTAGGCTTATTATTCACGTGGATGCATCTTTTTAACGGGATGGGGTGGGGGGGTCACTGCACCTGCAGTTCTGTGTACTGATTGGGTCCAAATTCCTTTTTGGCCCTTATAAAGCTGACTTCAAACCACTTCTGCATTTATGATTTCTCTGCATCCTCTTGTGGAAATGTTTGTCTGTTCAACACATTTACCATATCATTTATAGTAAAAAATACATTAGAGTTCTAGTCATATGTTTCATCTGGTGGTTTCTAATGGAAGATACAAGATTACTTCTCTCACTTTAGCATAAAGCAAAATAAAGCTAGCTGACTACCCATATCTTCTCTCTATACATATGTATGTGTATATATACACTTATATGTTATCTAAAAAGACTTGTCTTTAAATGATTTGATTAAGGTGTGGGGCATGTTCTTTTACTCTGTAAACATAACTGTAACATCATCCTATAGTTTGTAGAAACTGATTACACAAGGGATAATGACGACCAAATGTGCATTCTGAGCAACAGAGGATCATCACAAAATTCTCCAGAAATGAGAGCCAAGTTCCAATGTGTTTTCTTGTATCATGGAGAGATGAGAAAAGCGAGTTGCTAATTTCAGAGTCATTACCCATACAAATCCATTCACACACTTACCGCTTTGGACAAGTGACAGACCAGCAATTGCCAAACAATTGTATTCACACAGTGCATTTTTGGCTGCACACCTACACTGGCCAACAGGCAGAAGTTATTCCACATCAAGCAACCTGTAATTTACATTCCCCTGATTGGTTCCAGATCTGCCTGTGTTTGATGTTAGCATACAAACAACTATGTGAGGCAAGATATGTCCATTTGAGAGCTCTGGTACCTTTCTGGAGAGCCATCATTAGAAAGATGGGAATGGGTTGGACTGAAGAGCAGCACTTGGAGAAGGTGAAAGAATTCACAAAAGCACAGTCTAGCATATAAGAACATTCCAGTCTCTTATTTCTTCCAGTTCATTTGTATAGCAATTCAAATAAAACCTTAAATCCTTTTTGTGTTCGGCAAGCCCTCAATGATCTGACAACCATTTTTTACTCCCTTTGTAGGAAACACTAAAGTCAGACTAGCTTTCTTTTCCTCCACCTGACCAGGGAAAGCCCTGACTTTTTGTATTTTCTACCTGAAATGTTCTCCCCATTTCCTAGTGACTTCTTACCTGTCATTTCTTAACTCAGTTTGGCATCTTCAGACTCTAATTAATGTAGTTCTATGTCCACCACCTGAAACACCCCTCACACCTTCTCCTGCAGCTAATTTTCTTTATATCCCTTAGCAATAACTGAAATTGTCTTATTTATGTGCTCATTATTTTTCTTCAACTAAAATGCAAGTTCCATGGGAGCAAGAGCTATATCCACATGATTACCTATATGGCTTTAGCCCAATAAAATGGTGTCAGGCTCAAAATAAACAGAAATATTGTTTGAATTAAGGAACAAATGTCAAAATCATTATGCACTATTGATAATGACCTTAAAGCCAGAGAAGCTCACACTAGGAATATGGACAAAAAAGTTTCATAAATGTTCTTTTGGGGGATGTAACAAAGACTACTGACTTCCTTTACCAGTCCTCAAAGTGTGGTCTAGGTATACCCCTGTGGGCGCCCTGGACACTTTTAAGAAGGTCAGGTCATGAAGTCAAACCTATTTCTATTTCACTACTGAGAAATGATTTGCCTTTCTCACATTTTCTCAGGAGTGCCAGCAAGTTTTCTAGTTCAATACAATATCACAGTAGGCTGAATGCAGAAGCAGATACAAAAATCCACCTATTTGTGCAAAAATGTAAATGCCACTCATCTCACTATTTTTTCCTTTGAAACATTATTTCTCATTTAAAAATAGGAATATATATTTCATATTGCTGCTACTACAAATGACTACAAATTTTGATAGCTTCAAACAACATCAATTAATATTTTATAATTCTCAAGGTCAGAAATCCAAAGTGGGTCTCACTAAGCTAAAATCACATCAGCTGTGGGCCTGCTTTCCTATTTGAAGACCGTAGGGGAGAATCCATTACCTTCTAGAGCCCTCCACATTCTTTGGCTGGTGGTGCTCTTCCATCTTTAAAGAGAGCAATAGCAGCACACATTTTTCTCTTGCCTCCTCTCTCTGACCTTGCCTTCTTTCACTTACAAATGCCTTTACATTTGAGACCATTTAAATAATGCAGAATGATCTACCCATCGCGAGATCCTTAGTCACTTCTGCAACACTTTCACAGGTTCCAGGGATTAAGATGTGGTTTATTGTTAGAGGTCATTATGCTACCCACCACAGTATCATAAGAAATGGTGGGTTTATTGCTGTTTTGAATGAATTGATAATTATTCAGTAGTTCTGGTATTTAAATTCCTGATACAATAAATACAAGGAGTTATTTCCCACATAAATAAAAGTTCTCTCAGTCCTCAAAAATTTTTAAGTCTAGAGAGCTAACAATTTGTGAATCACTGGCCTGAACATAGCTACTTCCCCTTCTTCATTCACTGCCTCAAGTTAAATTAGATTAAACTAAACTGACAAAATGGTCTTTTCCCTTTTGTTGGGTTTGGTTTAAGGATGCTTGTGTTACTTAATTCTCACCACTGACTGATGAGAGGAAGTTGGGGGGGAAGTGATTTTGGGATATGATTGCTTTACTCATTAAAACAAACAAAAAGAAAAAACTGGTTAAAAATAAGTTGTCCTTTTTCTGCTCAGGGTGTTTCTAAGAAAGCACTACCTGAAATAGCTGCATCTATTTGTGACCAGGAGGGAGCCCACACACCTGGGTGACAAATTAGGAAGATGGGAAGCATCTGAGCTCTTGATGCTATTACTAACTTAACTGAATTAACCAACCTCAGATGGCTTGAGACGCCTTGCTATGTAATATAATTAATTCCCTTATCATTTAGGTCATTTTGAGTCTGCTTTTCTATTACTTGCATCTTAAATCTTCCTAAACGTTACAGAGAAATATCATGTCTGTGTCGATTTTCCATATGGGAAATTCCTTTTTTTTTGTTTTCCATCAAATTTATATATTTTCTCCAATTTTTGAGAACTATCAAGAAACAAGTAAAATAGAGTATTATAATTCTCCTGTGAGAATTAAAACTTGATTAAATGCATTACCAGTTTTCTGCAAGAGCAGGACACGCTGATAAACACACACACTGAAATTTATAGATGACATTTCAAGAAGTGATTACCAATTCATCAGCTAGTGTATTTGTAGTGCTGGCCACATTATAAGTCTGTTCATGGCTA